GCGATGGTACTCCAACCGTGATAGTCATGTTGAAGTGCGATGGTTTAAACTCCAAATCGTGATAGTCACGATGAAGTGCGATGGTTTAAACTCCGAACCGTGATAGTCACGATGAAGTGCGATGGTAAAAACTCCGAACCGTGAAAGTCACGATGAAGTGCGATGGTTTAAACTCCGAACCGTGAAAGTCACGATGAAGTGCGATGGTTTGACTTTGAAATGCGTTTTTGACCATGCTATATTGTGATGATCGTATTGTGATGCTATATTGCTGATAGCTACGCCGAAGTGTGTTGGTTGTAACACAGAAGTGCGATGGATCACTAAAATTTCAATGTTTTTTCATATGTCAATGTAGAGGTAAATTTGTTTGTAAGATGCAGCTTTTCAGTTTTTTCTAAGTAAACCATCGAGAGTATAACCCGTTTAAATTAAAACAGTCATTATGAATAGTCATTGAATTTCCAGTCATAACTAACGTTGTAGTTTACTTTGTTAAAATGATTTTTTCTGTATGTGCCTGTCCAAAGTCAGGAGCCTGTAATTCAGTGGTGGTCGTTTGTTGCTGTAAATCATATTTGTTTTTCGTTCAATGTTTTGTACATAAATCAGGCCGTTATATTTCTCGTTTGAATTATTTTCATTTGGCATTTCGAGACCTTTTATAGCTGACTATGCGGTATGGGTTTTGCTCATTGTTGAAAGCAAAACGATGACCTATAGTTGTTAACTTCTATGTCATTTATTCTATGGTGGAGAGTTGTCTCATTGGCAATCATACCACATCTTCTTATTTTTATATTGGACAAAAATAGGCCAACGTTTTTACAATCGTTCAGGACTCTACATGCAAATATTATTTCCATTGAAACTAGCACTGATTTCAATGACTGAAAAACGTGGTAATTTTTTAAAATGCAATATGATAAGGGACTTATCAACTTATCAACGTAGGTAGTTTATAATGTAACGGAAGAAATATGGAATGTTTGGTAGGGACACGTAATTTATCCTTTTATAGCCGCTCTATTATGGTCTCATTACGGATTACCATCCCAACCAATGCGTTCATGTTACAAGACAAAATGACACATGAAACACAACTATCCTATTTGTGAAACAAAAAGATCAATAGTTTGATGGATATCAGATGTTTAAATTCAAGTCGTAAATATTTAATGCATATTCAACATATGAACAAGTAAATGAAGGGCTTATAAACTTTTAATGCTACCAGAGAATATGAATGTTTAGTGGAATTTAGCCTTCCGTAACGGATCCTATTATTTTCAAAATCTACAGAAGAAGATTTGGGTTTTTTTTTATGAATGATGGAGCATGGTATTCTCTGTCCGCAGACAGATTTTCCGCATTATGATATTACGGTACTAAACGTGAAACTCGTGAGAGAAAGTATGTAAAGATAAACTATTAACGGAGAATTATATTTATATGCAGCAAAATTAAAGAGGACAATCTCTCATTTAGTGTGAAAGTGTAATTTAAGACATTTAGACCATCATACTTCAGGGAACGGAACATCGCACTTCAGTGCAAACCATCACATCTCAGCGTTGCATCGCACCCCGATTCTTACATATATTAACTCACAAAAGTTCGATACACATCCAAACTGTTATTATATTGGAAAAATATGAATTTTGAAATGCACAATAAATATATTGAAATAACGAAAAATACAATTTTACACAAACTATATCGTAAAGCTAACCGATAAATCCAGTCAATGTTTACAAAAGGGCCAAGCTGATCTTCTAGTAGCGTGATTGTCTTGAGATCGCGATATTGTGGGATTGATTCTCATCCAGGTCGAACGAAAAAGAAGAATTTGCTACTCCACTTTTGATTTTTAGAAAATTAGTAGTTGCTACTTCTCAGACAAGCAAGGAGTAAGAGCAAAGACTTGTCGGCTAGGATTCAGAATACTATGTCCGGGTAGGGTGACATATTTTTCTTGGGACTGCTACCTTGTGACCTAGCTCATTAAAAACCCGAAAGTCATACTATGCATTTACAAATGTTGTCTGAGATTGCCCTGACATCTGACGGACTTTTTTAAGACTGACCCATCATGATGCCAAATGGAACCTTATTTGGAAAATTTCTTCTAAAATTTATGCTTCTAAAAACAGAGTCAATATTGGTAATAAAATACAGGTTAGGTATAATAAGCGCACACAATTCGAAATAACATAATACGGAAGAACTTAAAAACCCAATATGTAAAACATAACTTTTGTAAAGAACAAAACAAATGCTTTTTATCTTATAACATAAATATACTTACTAACTGTGCCCCAAGAAGACATACAAATAAGACGTTTTTTGTTTGCAGTTCTCATCGCGTTGACAATTGGTTTTATGCTGTCTAAATAAAATGTGATTGGAGACCATCCTAAAAAACTTGTTCGACATCCAAGACAAGATACCACGGCGTCTGTGTTTTTAAAAGTTTCCACCAAGTCATCTTCTTTTAGGATGTCCACTTCTTTCACCTTGTTAAACAAAAGCAAGTATGACCAGTTTCCGAACAATTTATGACCACATATTTAATTTCAAAAAGTTTTTCTATATTTTCTAAAATGTACTTTGTCATAGATTGGTGTGTGTACTTTGTGGTTCTCGCAACACTATGTTGTATTTTTTAACATAAATTATATTTCCAAATCGCAAACGCTTAACTAGTATTTCTTTTCAAAGCTTAGTCAAAATTTTGATGGAAGTTAAGTTATGCCTTGTCTTTCTGATACAAAAAAAGGATGTCCCTCCGATTCATTTTTTTAATGTAAAACTTGTAATGAAATGTATTAAAACTGTCTTATCTAACAATATAAAGCGTCGATTTATGTTTATTTGTTTAAAAATCTTTAAAAGTTTTTCATTTTTTTACACTCAGCAATATTAAATTCCATCATTATCGTTTCGATTTTACAACTAGTGAGTAGAATAAATATAGGGAAACTAGCCTGTATACATGTACCTCTATACAGTATTTTAAATTTTGATAATATACTTTAAACATTTATATGTTAAACATTCGAAATTTTATTTCATTATTCTTTTGCTTTCAAGATGTTAGCAAAAACAGCCGCATTAAAGATCAAACGTCTACTTTAAGGGGAAAAGGTATATACGTTTTAGAAAAGTAAATACCGCTGTAGAGAGGGTATTAATATTGAGATATCCTTTTTTTTTTATAGATCCCAGAGTTAGTGAAATATAAACGAAATTCATCTGATACATGTATGATAAAATACAAAAATTCACACTAGCTTTCAACCAATCAAAATCAAAGATCTCATAAATACATTTATTTAAGCTATATTAGATATATATAGATACATGTAGATAGATATGAAACATCTGTTGGTATTCACTGACTATATTTCAATCTTATCATTTCAAAGTTAATATTTGACAAAGTATTGAATTGATATGCCATAGGGCTTAAATGATGACATCAGACAATGTAGTGTGTCCATATTAATGCACATCCAACCCAAATAACTACTTACAATAAAAAGGTCTCAATATATATCAGCTTCCTTACTTGTATTCTGCCACACTATTTTTTTGTTAAATTTTACGTGAATGTGACAATGTTTGATCACCCCTTTCGTATTTCTTAGTCATCCTATCCATGTATATTCATCATATAGGGTTGTACAGTGACAATTTGATTTTTGTGGTTTGCTTTACACAAATCTATCAACGAGTTTCACAACAAGAAACCGGCCGGTCATCTTTTGTGAGGGAGGGGGCGGGCTTTTTTTAACAACAAAAAATTGATTTCATGTTTTTTAAACAATGTTGTTTTAAAAATCAAGTAGGAAAAAAAGATTATTTCAATTGAAAATTTGTAAACAATATTGCTTTTAAAAAAATCTTGTTCCTGTAGGTTACTGAAAAAAATAAAGTTGAAAACTAATGTTTTCCCTAGAAAAAACTAATGCCCAATAAAATATGCATGGTCGATGCTTCAGTACATTCTTCAAAAAGTGAAAGCGTTGTATATTTAATATTGGTCCCAGACCTGTCGTATATAGACTGACTTATCACTATGACAAATCATAATGATTTACTAAGTGACATGGACATTTACAATGACCAATGGTCGCTGAACAATCTCTTCTGTCTATAAAAATATAGATTAAAGTTTGTTTATTCTTAATGATGGTGTTATGACTATGTCTATCAGTTATAAAACTTTACTAAGTGCTTCGGAGTACACTATAAAGTACTCTGTAAAAGCAAGTGTACAATCTCCAAAAAACTAGGGATTTAATGTTGGGCGGGGCCAGTCTCCTAGCTTATGAAGAAGCAAAGATCGACACAGGAAAAATCGGCAAATTCGTTCTTATAATGTTATAAATACTACAACTTAACATATAGGACATCATTATATAAAATACCATTTATGGAAGCTGTCAGTATTATCGATTTTGATCATTTATGATGTTATACGTATAAATTTTAATACAAAATGTACAAGTCCATAAAGTCTGCGTTTATTATAAACCCATTCCAGCTGTTACCTTTTATGTTGTAACAATAATAGGCAATTAAAATTATTCTGAATGTATCGTGTTATTTTTGTTCAAGGTGACGATCTCTTTCCACTACAAACACATGTTCAATAACGATGTGACAAACTGCACATTACAAATAAACATCCTAAAAAAAAACATACGAACAGGTTAAAATTACTGTGTATCCTAAATTTATATATCAAAATGCGACCTCTGCTTGAATTTGACCCCGCCTAAAACTTTGCTAGATATATATTCCCATTCATTATATCGCTTTTCAAAATCTCACATGTACTGTTAACATACCTTAAGTTTATCGTTCGTTACTGAGCTAAGTCCTTCAGGATTTCTCACCAAAGCAAAGACTTCGTGCTCATTTTTCAATGATTCCAACACAAACTGCAAACCAGTGGGACCTGTTGCACCAAGAACGGCAATCTTCATAGTACCTGTCAGTACTGATATCCACACGTTTAACTTGTCATCGATTTGATGAGGTAATAGTGTAATGTAAAGGAAGTAGAGTTATCTCTCTTCTTTCAAAAATATACGCAAAATGTGAGATAAGTTATTCCCCTTGGTATTATTGAATATCTCCTCGTTACCAGTTGCGGATCCAGGATTTTTAAAGGGGTCAGGGGCCACCAAACTAGAAAAAGTATGGAATGAAATAAGTAAAAAGTCTAGATTAACCATAAATATAGCTCTATAAGGAGGCCCCGGTCACCCCGCCCCTCTAAATCCGCCTCTGTTTACATATTAGATTATATATCATTCAACATTTATAAAAATAAAAATAAATCCATTTACATACTTACAATCATCCTTTCAGTCATAATTATTATTTTTATTTATCGTTAACGTTGAATGATATATACAATCCACTATAATGGGAATACTAAGAATTTTGCGCTTAAATAAATGATAGGGCTATGTTCTTCTCATATATTTTATGTTGGTATGATACTAAACCCCTTGCTTGATTTTCATATGATGAAGACATACTCTTTCAATCAGTTTAAGTGAGGTCTGGGGCTGGCATGTTAGTAACTGCTAGTAGTCCTTTGTAAATTTATGTTATCATTGTCATTTTGCTTAGTTTCTTCTGTTACCTATTCTAACATCGGACTCGGACTTCCTTTAAACTGAGTTTTACTGTGCGTATTGCTATGTGTTTGTTTATTCTACATTTGCTAGAGGTATAGGGGAAGGGTTGAGATCTCACAAAACATATTTATCCCCGCCGCATTTTTGCGCCTGTCCCAAGTCCGGAACCTCTGGCCTTTGTTAGTCTTGTATGTTTTTTTTTTTAATTTTTGTCAACTATATGTTTCGGAGTTGTGTGTGACGTCCGTTTTCTCTGAACTAGTACAGTTTTATTTAGGGGCCAGCTGAAGTTTGTCTGCGGGTGCAGGATTTTCTCGTTGTGTTGAAGACCCATTGGTGGCCTTGTGCTGTTTTCTGCTACTTGGTCGGGTTGTGGTCTCTTTGACACATTCCCAGTTTCTATTCCCAATTTTATGATACCGATTTAAGTAGATTACCCAATACTAATACTCTTTATTACTTAGTGGCGGACCCAGCACCCCCCCCCCCCCCCCCTTTTTCCCTGTCGCAAAAGTTATTAAAAAAAATATAAAGTTTTCACGATATAATTTATATAAAAAATTTCAATTATCGGGAATTACGCCCCCTTCAAAAATCCTGGATCCGCTCCTGGTAATCATGTATATATGTACATAACATTATATACTGTAACAAAAGTTTCTGCTATATGGTACAACACACAAAGCTGGCTTGTTCACTCCCTACATGTGATTTTAAATTTTGTTTCTTAACAGTCAGTAGATCAATCTCCGACATTCCTCTGACATCAGAATCTAAAACTCGTGCAGCTGTAATACTACTTGCGTAGAACCAAGCGCTCTGGCCAAACTGACCACAGTCGCCTATCAAAATAAAATTTACATTTCCATGCAGTTTCTGTCGTTTCCTTTATTAATGCGTTAGTAGTTGGGAATCTATACACGATGCATTATAAGTATAGCAATTTGATGAGGCTTATTTCTGCCGTCGTCGTTGTCGTTGTCGAGATAATTAAGTTGACTTGCCGAGATAATTATCTCAACAAACCTACCTAATTATCTCGACAATTCGACTTCACGACGATAGAAATAAGCCTCCATAACAATCTGAATTAAGTTACATGTTATTGTCTTTTAAAACGATCTGCCATTACTTTGACAGCAATATCATTCAAATTTTATATTCATTGTATAGGGTCGCGAGATATCTTGTGATACAGTCACATTAAATGAAGTATTGTAAACAAAGGTCCAAATAATTAGAATACTCGATCATCATAGCCAATCATGAGCCTTTTTTTTTTTTGGCAAATACAATCCTTATAATTAGATTATCATTATAACACAAATTAACTGATACATTTACAATTCCAACTTTTCTCAAATGAAACAACCAAATTAAAAGAAAAGAAAAACATGACCTATAGTACGGAAGCGTATAGGTATCTTTTTTTGTTGTTGTTACTATTGACTTGGTGCCATTTAACCGTCGAAATATAATTATAAAACTAAGTATATGAATTTAAAATAGCTGTATTAACATCTTTCTTTAAAACTTGCAGTGTTAGAATTTGATGTATTTATTAAATCTGTCAAAATTAAGTTGTATTACTTAGCGGATCTCCGACAAGCCTCACCGATGCCGTCTATCGTGTGACGGTTGCATCAAAACCAAGAACCCAGCGCTGTAACTAGCCATGAAGTTGTATTGAGTATACCTTACTATCTGCTTACCCTTCCGGAGCACTTGAGATCACCCCAGTTTTTTGGTGGGGTTCGTGTTGCTTAGTCTTTAGTTTTCTATGTTGTGTCATCTGTGCTATTATTTGTCTGTTTGTCTATTTATTTTTGGCCATGGCGTTGTCAGTTTGTTTTCGATCTATGAGTTTGAATGTCACTCTGGTATCTTTCGTCCCTCTTTTACTACACGTGTTACATATTTCTTTGTTTTCAGGTTTCAAATATACCCACCAATATCGTTTTATTTCAACGGAACAAGGGATCAAAAATCCAATTAGATGAAACTAATGGAATTTCTAAAAAGTGTGTCCCGTCGCCAGTGGTTGTATGACAGGTTGCACTTTTGTAAAATGAACAATGCAATTTCCCATAGAAATTCTTTTTAAAAAAGCCTAAAACTTCGCCCCTTTTACTACGACATTTCATCCAAAATCTTATACCGGAATGAAAATTTCACAAACTTACTCAGACTTTTTTAATCGGGTCAAAATGTATCGATTGTGCGGCATTTGTTCGACATTGGTATGCCTTCAATTCCTTATAACTTAAACATATGGTGTTTATTTATCTCAACTTGTACGATTCGCTCGTATATGTAACAATATATAAGTTTTTAGCGAGAGAAATTTATGTATTACTGAAAAATTATTACACCAGGGTTTTCGATATCATAAACTAGTCAAAACATTTACTAAATTTATCATCGGTATAAGGACATCATTCGTAAATATAACTCAACATGCAGACATCTTATACGTTCGGGTATTTCACATCCAATCTTTTATGGTAATATTCTTTACAAAGCACAAAAATGTCAGTATTCACCTCAAAAGCTAACAAAACCTTTAAACAGACTTATTAAGAAGGGATATAGTTACGATACTGTTGTCAGGTCATTAAAGATTGCATATTTTGGCTTTAATATTGATTCATGCACTTATAGGGTCTTTGCATCGGAATTAAACATATTTATTCTAAAACCAGTTGTTGGCATGACACGGGTTATGTTCTTCTCATATATTTTATGATGGTATAATACTAAACCCCTAACAGGAGGGATTGTGCCTGATATTCATATGATGAAGACATAATCTTTCAATCAGTTTAATTGAGGTCTGGAGCTGGCATGTCAGTAACTGCTAGTAGTCTGTTGTTATTCATGTATTATTGTCATTTTGTTTATTTTCTTTTGTTTCCTATTCTGATATCGGACTCGGACTTCTCTTAAACTGAGTTTTACTGTGCGTACTGTTGTGCGTTTGTTTTTCTACATTGGCTAGAGGTATAGGGGGAGGGTTGAGATATCAAAAAACATGTTTAACCCCGCCGCATTTTTGCGCCTGTCCCAAGTCAGGAGCCTCTGGCCTTTGTTAGTCTTGTATCATTTTTTATTTTAGTTTCTTGTGTATAATTTGGAGTTTAGTATGACGTCCATTATCACTGAACTAGTATACATATTTGTTTAGGGGCCAGCTGAAGGACGCCTCCGGGTGCGGGAGTTTCTCGCTGCATTGAAGACCCATTGGTGGCCTTCGGCTGTTGTCTGCTCTATGGTCGGGTTGTTGTCTCTTTGACACATTACCCATTTCCATTCTCAATTTTATATGCTGAAATTTCTTACTACCATCTCCTTTTTCTTGAATCTTCCCACAAAAAAACCTTTAAAATACTTGTCGTTCATGAGGTTAGGTAAGGGGAGGGTTTGGAGCCCGCAGACATGTCTAACCCCGTCACATTCTGTATGTGTCTGTCCCAAGTCAGGAGCCTGTAATTCAGTGGTTGTCGTTTGTTGATGTCTATCACAATTGTTTTTTGTTCATTACTTTGTACATAAATCAAGCCATTAGTTTTCTCGTTTGAATTGTTTTACAGTTTTCATTTCGGGGCCTTTTATAGCCGACTATGCGGTATGGGTTTGGCTCATTATTGAAGGCCATAAGATAACCTAGAGTTGTTTACTTCTATGTAATTTCGGTCTTTTGTGGAGAGTTGTTTCATTGACAATCGTTCCACATCATCTAATTTTATATGATCATTCATTTGGACCTCTATCCAATAGGTAAAATATTTCAAAGCTGTGTCTTTATGAAATAAAACATGGGATCATTTATGGGAATCAATAGGCGAACAAAACAAAATACTTTGAATATTTAGTAATCCCAAAAGAGGCATGATGGATAATAATGGTGTGTATTTACCTAGCCGGTGCAACCTTGATAGAAGTCTGGGACGTTGATATAATTAATTTGTTAAAGCCCATCATTTCACATTTTCAGAGGCGGATTAAGGGGACAAGGAGCCGCCCCCTTACACAGCTACATAAATGATAAATGCATCATAGGTGGATCCAGGGGGGGAGGGGGGCTGGGGGGCCCGGGCCCCCTTTCGTGGGAAAAATTTGGTTGATTATATAGGGAATCACTGAAGCATGACTGGAGCGGGCCCCCCTTAGGTCAGTCAGCGGGCCCCCCTTATGAAAAGTTCTGGATCCGCCACTGTGCATATATAGATGTTTTTACAAGTATTACTCCAAACGTTGGCTCGGCAGACCCCACCTCCCCCCTTTTAAAAATCCTGGATCCGCGCCTGATTTCTGAATATACATTTAATACGCCAATGACAAAATTATGTTGCTTCTAAAAATACTCCTATGTATACATCTACGCATGTTTGAATGTTGATAAATCGCAGTCGGACGGTTCTTTGATGATCAATTTAAATTACAAAATTTCTTTTCTGTGTTGTATTCTAGAGGCTGTTATTTCCCTCGAAATCGGTTTATATATAATTACAAGTGGCACTCGTATGAAATACCACTTAAAAACAAGGATTTTAATCAATTTAATTTTATAGTTTTATTATATAAAAAAATAACTTGAAATCCGCATTTTTTTCCATATCCGTTCGTTTTCGTATCGTTATTTATACAAATATATTGTATCTCTCTTTAAAACAAAAGTAAGTAATTATACTAACATTCTTGCAGTATTTGTATGTGCCTTCATGCATTTCTACCGCTGTTTATATTTACAATGAGTCACCGAATTAACTTAACGTTAAATTAGGCATTTATTTACTTTGCGTAGAAAAATTGTTACTGCCGGTGTCATATAAAATAGTTACCTGTTTTCTTGTACCACTCGAGTCTCGGTGATCTTCTTTACAACTACATTTATTTATTATTGTTCATATGGTACTGTACCGGTATATTTTTTTCATAACTCAGTAATTTTTCAACAAACTTAAGAAGGGTGGCTATTGTGCTATAAAATTAAATCCCAACCTACAGTCTATTTTAACATTTTATCGGTTTACCAGACGGACATATTTACAATAGATATATATATATATCGTCAGAGTACCCAAATTGCACCTATTTTGACAGTTTTTTCATATACGTTTGTTTATGATCCAGACAAAAGTTCCCATTCTGTGTTTATTTTGTAGATGTATCCTTATTTACTTCATATATAGTTCTACCGAATTAATTTTGGATCCTTATTGAATCATAGCAAAATGGGGTTTTTAACCAGTAGATTTACATAATAATTATGACGTCTTGAAAGGATATTTTAATTTTTTGCTGTGACGCCTTACTACGTACAGTGCATCTGACGAGACTACCCAGTTTAACTTTTTTGTGTAATCAACTCCTTTCACATACATGTATTTATCCAAAGTCCTTGAAGAAGATGTGGTATGAGTGCCAATGAGACAACTCTCCACGGGGGGGGGGGGGGGTCTCTTCCTATATGAAGGTATATACATATGTGCCGCTGGAATGGGTCCCATTTTTGATAAGTCAAATATATCAATGGGGTGAAATTTTACCGAGGAACTATATCAATAGGTAGTAATTGACTAATTGTGATATATTGTATATGCATATAGGTACTATTTGAGCTGATAAATATATGAATGGGTTATGATTTCGCTGTGAAATATATATATAGGTAGGGATTTCACAATTATTCAATATATCATTATGAATGGGGGGGGGCGGGGGGGGGGGAGGGGGTTAAATCCCAGCTGCACAACTGTATCCAAAGTCCCATGTACAGACAGCTATATTTTCCTCTTACAGTTTAAACCATGCCTTTTTTTTGCAACGCCAGATTGTTTTCATTTGTAATTTAGTAAACAAACAAAAAAAACCGGAAGTGGTGAATTGAAGTTGACTGTACAGTGTACTCGGCCTCATTATTGATTCCAATATTGTTTTTTTTTTTAATTTCCCCTTTTCTTGATTTTTCCTTAGAATAAATTGGAAATGTATTCATTACACAAGGTAAGTTGTTCCTTCTTTATATGATTTATAACCCTTGAAACTTTTGCTGGAGATCTCTCAATGTGGAAGACCAAGTAAAATCTTAAGGTACCGGTACTTGACGTTTTTTAATTAACAAATGGACAGATTTCAACAAAATAAGGAAATTGTAAATAAAGCAAAATCTTATCTTTACATAGATCTTAGGAAAATTATCTTTATATCAATTATAGTTAAATGGGGTATCTAATTTAGACACGGTAACGAAAGAATGAATGATTGCTATGCACATTTTTTAAAACATTAATAATACAAGTAAAGTTTAAATAAAATATGGATAAAAGTAAAACAGAGAGATGGGAAAACATTTTGAACGGTTCATGTAATGTTTAACACCGGAAGTACACTGATGTTAGACTATTTAATTGTAGATGTCCTCCATGACAGACGACTTGGACTGGCAGTTAAATAAAACCCTGCCAGAATGCATGTTGTATATGTTGGAACATGAAATAATGTGTGACATTTCCTTTCGAGTTGGTCCAGAACATAGAATACTGAAAGCTCATAAATATATGCTGTGTAGCCGAAGTCCTGTTTTCTATATCATGATGCAAGGTTCCTTGCCTGAAACAGACGATATAGATGTCCCGGATGTTGACGCCGAAACTTTCCGTGTCCTATTGGAGTAAGTTCTAATCAAACCTGCAATAAAATAAAGCATGCATTCGAAGGAGATTATTATTTTCAGCCGCGAGTCCGTATTAGATTTTCTTTTCACGCCATAAGGAGGGAGTCCTTGTTTTATATCTAAAATATTATATTTCCCTCCCAATGTTGAGTATCAAGTTATCCAAAATTTAATATTTTCAATAATAAAAACGAAATTCAATAAACTGTTACATGTATAAAGTAAATATTTTATTGACACCAATACGTCAACTTCAGTCTTTCTGTTTGAATCGTACTTTCGGTTTTACATGTTAATTAAAGACTTGTTCGTCATAATTTAAAAGACTTTTACAAATAACGAGATTATGATATCATTGTGTTATTTTGAAAACTTTGATTGGTTCCTGCGCCAGGCGACCAATAATCAGCACGATGAACGAAAAAAAATGAATTATCATGTGCACGTAAAGTTATAATATGACAGAATAACTACCCTTTTGATGTAAAATAAGGAGATGTGTTATAAATATAAAACACGACTACGACATGATTCCAGAATGCTGGTCATGCTAGATAAAACCCCTGTGTATACTTAAATGCTTGATATATTGGTTAAGCTATTACCATCTCTTGTCGTCTGTAGTCCGTAAAGATTTTCAAAGATTTTCTCCCCCGAAAAAATCGAAATGATTAAAATTGAACGTAATTGATCCTTTGTGGGTCTACTTTATACTTTGTAAATTGTACTAGCATACAACCAACATGGCCGCAATAGACAAAGATAAAACATAAGGATAAAATGCAAGTAATAATTGTCAATTTCTTGAAATCCATAAATTGATAGTTTTAAAAATGTGACAAGTTGAAAACGGTCAGAATATCAAGATCTACTTACTTTCCATTCTATTAAAATAGTTTTGGATATTATCTTATAAACAATAATGGATACAGAAAATCTATCAGCAGCAAAATTGATACATCACAAATTTGGATCTACAAATTATTCATTGTCCGTTAATATTTCAATACCTGCATGCTGAAGGGATATTTAATTTTGGAAGGTGGTTAAGGAGATTTTAAAATATTTTGTATCCTGATTTTTGGTAAATACATGCATATTCATATTATTTTCACAGATAAACACTACATGCTCCTTTGGGCCTCCAGTGTTATGTGAATGAACTCCAATGGCTGAATAAGAATTGAATATTACAGTGTGTTTTGTCACTTTTTATATGTGTACATATTAGTTTAAATAAAGGATTGTTGAAGCAGTTATGTTTTTGCATTTTAAATATATAGATGGAGTGGCGTATCAATCTATTTGAAAGTTTTAATCTTTAAATTATATATCCATCATTTAAATTTAACACGAACTTTTGTATTATTTTTCTAGACATATTTATAGTGACAGTGTAGCAATACCAAAAGACAAAGTAAGTAAAGTACTGTATGCATCAGAGAAGTATATGCTTCCCAAGCTGAAATGTGCATGTGAACAGTTACTACAAACCCTAGCCACGTCATCTGACGCACCTATTGTACTTCAGACAGCTCACTCCTTCAACATGACAGATTTACTACATGAGAGTTTACAACATATACTACAATCTCCCAAACAATGCTTGAATTCTGAAGACGCATTGAATATGTCTGCTGATTGCTTGGAAATGATATTGAGTTCGGACGAATTGATGCTTTCGGAGGCGGCAGTATTTACTTTTCTTTTACAATGGGCTACATATCGTTGTATGACAAGCGACCTGGAGATAAGTGACCAGGATATACGAGAGACAATGAGTAGTCTTCTTTACTGCGTGAGATTTCCGTGTATGGAACAAGATTTTTTTACCACAGAAGTGTCAACCAAAGACATTTTATCAAAAGACGAATTGTTGTCAATCTATCGATCTTTTAATGGCATAAAAAGTGAAATATTTTCGGAATTGAAGAGGAAGGAACCGGTCGCTAACAGAGTTATTCGTTATAGTAGCCTTTCTTCAACTGGTTCCTGGATAAGCAATGAACAAGATGCAGTCACACTTACATGTAGCAAACCAGTATTTCTGAAAAGTATTCTCTCCTTCGGAACAAAGGCTGCAACTGCTTGTCTGTCACCTGGTGTTGAAATTCGAGATAGCACTGGGGCAGTTTTGTCGAGTGTTCAGAGAGACATATCCGTTGGCTTTTGTGAAACATTTGATATAGATTTTCCTCAACCTGTGCATTTAATGGCGAATGTGATGTACACTGTAATTTCAAAGGGTGTTTCTAGGAATGTGTACTATGGAGATAATTGCAAGAACGTTGTCAATGTCAAAGACATGACTTTCACATTTGGAGATTCAATTCAAAGCAAAACGGCTACATCAGCTGTCTTCGGACAAATAGCTGGCTTTACTTTTCATTTGTAGTATCTTCATTGTATATTATGTATATGTTTAACTGCTTTACATATTATTCATTGCATATTCTATATTATGAGTGTTATCAAAAGTTCACAGCACATTCTCGATGTGACAATTTAACATTTTACAATATTATTTGGTATATTTTTTTTTGCATATAGTGATGACAGTGATTGTTTCTAACATTGGCTTATATTTCTTGGTGAAAAATATTTATTCTACATACATGACATGTTATAGATATTTATATAATTATAGCCTATGTATGAGGTTGATACGACGATATATTGATCTGAAAGAAGTATATGGACTTAGGACGAAGTCCGAGGTCGATATACTTCTTTAGGTCGAGATATCCTCGTATCGACCTGGTACTTAGGCTACGATTGTTATGTTATTATTGCCAATAAGCCAGAAGTAGAGCACCATTTCATTTAATTGGTTGTTTCGATTGTGTCAGATATTCTAAATATAACAGTGCAATATCCCTTTTCTATCTGCTGTTTTCAGTCTACATTTGAAAATATAGTCGAACATGTGACTCTTCCTAAACGAATCAAATTAGTTAGAATATACATAATAATTATATCCATGTACAATGTAACTACTAATATATGAAAAATACATCACTGTCACTGCTGTTACTAGTAAGGGGATCATCTATACCTTTACTGTAGCAATGAAGGAGGAAAGTGTCAGATTTGTACAGAACATGTTATCTTTTACACATAATTGTGATGGCATTTTAAGTGAAGAACAACTCTGCTTTAATTGCAAGCTATGAATCGAAATTTTATGAGATTATTCAGTATAGTTAAAATACTGTTGTATGGTGTGATATGATGATTTTAAATTTGAAGATTTTTATATACATGCATCAAAAGTTATACTTTTTAAGGATTGCATGACCTGCAAATACATATTGTTTTATTGTTATTTTCTTGTTTTGATTCCCATTGTGTTATTATCTTATATTTTTATACTATCTTAATCGGATATGATATACTTTTTGTTACGATGGAATGTTCTTCGCCTGTGTGGTAATATGTCTGTATTTGTCCCAGCATATATATAATATCAATTTCACGCCCCTTTCGATTTGATAGTTTATGCTTACTTTATATTTTATCAATATACTATTTATGAGAATTTATCACACGCTTCCTCTACAATTTAATATTGTATGTTGACGGCCCCTAACTCTCAGGCTAAATAGTTTTCTTTTCTTTGAATATTTATTAAATGCACTCGTTTTCTCCCATGTATTGTACTTACTTACAAACAAAATTGTAAACATTTTAAATTATATATTTTGTATGTCGTTGTGTTGGTTATATTGCGATGTTAATATTATACTACTCAGTACTATTTACTTATTTACTTATTTACAAATATTTTATTTGTTGTTTTTGCTGATATTACGTCTTTGCACTATTGATTTTCCATTCGAAATATGCTTTTATGTTTAGTTTGAAGTTAGTCGCATTTTAACATGTATGTGTTGATGTTTGAAACAATAAAAGTTTAATGGAATATGGTATTATAATTGAATCATTCTCACTTAAAATTGATTCAGTCTTTTAAAATAAATTAGAGCAAGCAGACATATACGATTTTCTTCTGCTTTAAAACTGCTACATTGGTAGAGATGTTGTATATAAACTGTATAATGTGATACCGATTTTAGAGTACTCACAAAACGTTGACATGTTCGTGGAATTATCGTCGTTAGATACGCCCTAGACTCAAATATTTGGAAGTTGAATACATTAAACTTTGAAGAGCTTCAAAACCAAAGAAAGCCTAAGATGACAAAGTCTTCTATTTAGAGCTCGGGTAAGTATCAACATAAGTTCTACGAAACTGCTACCATCAATGTGCATGTTTTTTATATTAACAATATATTTGTTAAGTTTGTTAAAAAAAAAATTTCAGACAGTCAGCGTTTCCTATTAGAACATATTGTGCCCTTTTCTTCCACTTTAAACTTTGATGAATAATCTCCTTATTTTTTTTATATTTATACAGAAGTTCTCAAGAAGAATGAAAATAAACTTGCATTATCCTTTTACTTCCCGTTTCATTACAGAGATTATATCGTCCTTGAAATTGGCGACCGTGTTGACCCTCCCTATCCTTTGAACTTGAAGAATGAAGGATACCACATATACAATACAAAGCTGCTTGCCAATGAGAGAACTATCCATCAGAGACCAAAACACGTGAAAGTGAGAAGCCATAGGTCACCATACGGCCTTCAACAATGAGATAAACCCATACCGTAAAGTAAGCTATAAAAGATTCTACAGGACAAAATGTAAAACAGTTCAAACGAGAAAACCAACGATCGGATTTATAACACAGCAATAAAAAAAATGTGACGGACAGCATCTAACGAATACCACCGAAATACAGGCTCTGACTTTCAACAAACATATACAGAATGAGGCGGGGTTAAAAAAATTAGCTAACGTTTAGCCCCCCCCCCCCCCCTTACCGAGACAGTGATGTAACAGCACACCATAAAAACAAACTTTAAAATGATTTGACACGTGAGTTCAGAGCGGAGAGAAAAAACAATAAAAAAGACACAATGTACTAATCTTACGGTACTCCCAGTTACAAGTTTACTAATTCAAAGTCAATTACAATTAATGAATAGACCATGTTTCCAAAATTAGAATACCAATCAGTACATTTATGATCTTCTTGTCGGACAAAAAAGGATAATTATGATAACAGAGGGGGAACGAATTAGATATAATTATTAAAATCTGATCTGTGTAAAAAAAAATGAACTGAAATTACAAAGCGTATTATGGTATCATGTATTATTTTTAAAGTTTTTATTTTGGATCTACAAGAACGATTTCTAGCTGAGACTAGGTCCATACTAAAGTTAATGTTTTAGATATATGTCCCTGTCCCATGTAGTGATGAAACTTATGCCTCAAACAGAGTTTCCAGAAGATATCATGGATTTTCGGTACTGGGTGCTTCCTTGATTACTTTCAACAAAATTTCTTCGGATTCTACAATCGAAGTCTTCATTGCCACTGGACGTTAAGCAGTCAACAAACAATCAATCAAACTCTTCAAGAAGTTTCTCCAAATGGATCCTTTAAAGAATACTTTGAAATTGAGCCAAGCAACCGTGACACAATTGACATAATTATACGTATTGTAAACGGTAACCTGTTGAACTGCTGTCATGCCATTTGATGATGATGATGATGATGGAAGTTTTTAACGACCTTGACGGGCTGTATTTAAAGGATCTGGCTATTTTTCAACCAATATGCATCAACAAAGAGCAAACTCGATTAAAATTAAATTCCAAATGGATTCAGTTTTGTTTGCTCCAGATGCTTCCTTACATGCAAACTTATTTAAAAACTAATATCCGCATTTGTAAGAAAGGTTTATGTAAATACGTAGGTATTTAGGGTTTGATATTGTTCTAAAAGTTTCAGCTCACACATGCACATGCACATTTGTAAATCGTATAAAACAATAATATTTCATAGCGAAGTTGCACATGTTGCAGTTGGGAAGAACATAGAACATAGACAAGCAGCACTGTATTATAATAATGCATTTTGCAACGAAAATAATAATTGTCACTGTTATCTTAACTTCGAACTCCAGCTTGATAAGACCTACAAAATTGAAATGGTAAGCTTAATACAAAGTTTGTATAAAATAATTATTATAACTTTCAATATGTTATCAGTATCCAGATACGAGTATTTTCGGGATGATATCAACACAGTCTTTGAAATGTTATTGTTGGTCAAAGGATTTATAATTTTTACAAGATATTTTATCACATGTTAAAAGTGACAATGTTCTCGTGTTAAAACCTTACATTCATTTATTCATCCGGTATAAATCTTCACGTACAACTTGCGTATATTACTTTGTATAAACATTCCGATGAGTTAGGAATTGGACAGTCTTCATCAAGGCTTCACAGTATTCTTTGGAGTCAGTTTTGTCAAATTTGTGTTTCTATTGATTATTTGCGGTACTGTTAGACTGTGGCAAGGTTTATCAGTTCCTTTCCCTAAATATACTAATAAGGAATGTATGATACACGCCAATGACACAAACCATATCCAGGTTACGAACACGTCTATATTTTCGTATCATTGCTAGGTTTCATTTATTAATTATAAGTATAAAAAGAAACAATATCTCATTCCTTCACAGTGCTACTCATCAGATAGCTACCCCATGAACACGGGTGTCATTCGGTATATAGAGAAAAATCATCGTGAAGGAATCACAAAGAGTCTTGTAATAAAGAGCATTAATTGCATCCCTTGTTAAAACAACTTCTTGTTGCAATTACATGCAATGATTACATTAACTTGATTGCTATATTCCTTCAATGACATCATCATGATCATATTATATACTAATTTCATATGTGATATCATATGTGTACAACCAAAACATCAGCATACAAACCTGTTCCAAGACCTGTAATGCGCCCCTTCCTCGGCGACCTCCATAAAATCCTCATATTTGCATCTTTAAGTCAGCCCTTCTACTTTTAAATAATTTTATTCTAGACTATCAGGACTCATACTTTGGCTTCTACAGCAGTGTCATGCAGTTTTTTAGGCGACAGACTTCTGTCAGCCACACGTTTATGTCGTACAATTGGTGCTTAAGTCGTTGTAAAGAAGAAAGTTATTTATATGTAGGAATACGGGTAATAAGAAAAGTTGAAATACGTCTTTTACATATCAATTTTTATACCTCCATATATGATATATAATAAATCCATAAGACATCTAGAGGGTGCCTTACGCATCTGCAACAATAGAAAAAGAGACGCGAAAGATACCAAAGGGACATTCAAATTCATAAGTCGAAAATAAACTGACAACGACATGGCTGAAAAAGAAAATTACCAACAGACAAACAACATTACACAAAATAAAATTGAGAATGGAAATCGGGAATGTGGCATAGAGACAACAACCCGACCAAAGAGCAGACAACAGCCGTAGGCCACCAATGGGTCTTCAATGCAGCGAGAAAATCCCGCACCCGGAGGTGGTCCTCAGCTGGCCCCTAAATAAAATTGTGTGCTAGTTCAGTGAAAATGGACGTCACACTAAACTCCAAAACATATAAATGAACTAAAATTAAAAAACATACTAGACTAACAAAGGCCAGAGGTTCCGGACTTGAGACAGGCGCAAAAATGCGGCGGGGTTAAACATGTTTTGTGAGATCTCAACCCTCCCTCTATACCTCTAGCCAATGTATAATAAAGAAACACATAGCAATACGCACAGTAAAACTCAGTTTAAAAGAAGTCCGAGTCCGATGTCAGAATAGGTAACAAAAGAAACTAAGCAAAATGACAATGATACATAAATGAACAAAGGACTACTAGCAGTTACTGACATGCTAGCTCCAGACCTCAATTAAACTAATTGAAAGATTATGTCTTCATCATATGAAAATCAAGTACAATCCATCCCGTTAGGGGTTTAGTATCATACCATCATCAAAATATATGAGAAGAACATAACCCTTATCATGCCAACAACTGGTTTTAGAATAAATGTGTTTATTTCCGATGCAAAGACCCTATGAGTGAATCAATATTAATACCTAAATATGCAATCCTTAATGACTTGACAACAGTATCGTAACTATATCCTTTCCGAATAAGTCTGTTTAAAGGTTTGGTTAGCTTTTGAGGTGAATGCCGACATTTTTGTGCTTTGTAAAGAATATTACCATAAAATATTGGATGTGAAATACCTTCAAACGTATAAGATGTCTGCATGTTGATTTATATTTACGAATGATGTCCTTGTACCGATGATAAGATTTGGTAAATGTTTTGACTAGTTTGTGATATCGAAAACCCTGGTGTAATAATTTTTCAGTAATACAGAGATTTCTTTCGTTGAAATCAAATACGTTGTTACATACACGAGCGAATCGAACAAGTTGAGATATATAAACACCATAAGATGGCGACAAAGGGAACGTCTAAAAATGGATAATTAACAATAGGAAATGAAAAATCATCTCTTTTATCATAAATTTTGGTATTAAGCTTCCCGTTCAAGATCCAGGAAAGGGCAGTGTTCATTGTAAGTATTAGCTCTATTTACAGTCAGTTCGGTAGGATAAATCGCTTTAGTATACATACTGAAGTCGTCATAACATAGAAAACTGAAGACTGAGTAACACGAACCCCACCAAAAACTGGGGGTGATCTCAGGTGCTCCGGAAGGGTAAACAGATCCTGCTCCACATGTGGCACCCGTCATGTTGCTCATGTTAGTACAAACCCGGTAATAAGTCTTAATTCGGTAGGTCACATTTGGGGAAAAGGGACGGGATTGTAGTTACGACAATTGGAACATATCCGCTATCATCTGTGAAACGGATATTCCATAACGGTCAACCAACTCGTGATGGGGTCCGTAAAATTTAAGAAGGGATGATTTCAACTTCCCCACTTGGAACTCTTGGTTTAATAGCTTCCTTGTGAGCAG